AATACAGATGATAAAAGAGGTTCATTATGGAAACCCGCACATTTCCCACATAGGACGGTGCCTTGCAAAAAAGACACAGAAGAATTGTGAGAAGGGTTAGAAAACAAAGCTGTGATCTAACAGTCCTTTTGAAAATCAAGGTCGTCCATCACAGAAATAGATAAAAGCAGAAAAAATTAATCACACAGAACCCGTTGCACCATATTTAAGCTCAATGTTTTAAAAAACGAACACCAAGTGAGCACAGCAACAGGAAGAAAATCCGCCTGCCTGATTTTGCCCCAAGTCTGATCCGAAAGGTTCGTTGGTTTGATGTCGAAGACTCAGCATTGCAACTGCAGTCCGGCTTACTTTTAGTCGTTGTGCGGAAGGAGAAACGCACGACATCTGTCGAAAAGAGTCCTTCTGACTATGTAAAGATGCCAATGAAAACTGTTCACGCCATTTAAAGCACAGACTCATTCAAAACAACCCGCCGTCAACCACTTCCTGTATGAAAAGGCCACGCCCACCTCGAGGTCACATGACGCAGAGCACGGCAGCTCCTAGAACAGGATGAAAGCGCAGAGGAAGCCCAGAAAACTCCCCATCTACCGTAATGTGTGGAATAAGTGCCCCATGCAGAACAGCACTAGCACTATACATCATTAGCGAAATAAGTGCATTAGCACTTGACTGAAAAATGCAAAACACTCGATGAACAAAAGACATGCTATTTTTAGACAAACCCTTTCTTGTTCAAAAGGGATATTGATTTCTGTGGTCTGTTCAGTAACGTAAAATAATAATGTATAAATATAATGTAATGTCCTAATAAAATGAGGCATGAGTTCTATTTTTGGACATTTTATTGTATTTTTTTGCAAGTAGAAAGGGTGAAATTTAAAACGGAGAACAGGATGCACTTCTTCACACAAAGGGCTGTGGAAGCCTGTATCCGAAATTCACTCGATGAATAAACTACTTGCAACCAAAGGAGTTGGACAGGATGAATGGTTTGCTATTGGTTGTAAGCTTTCTTGTGTTCTGATGATCACCAGTCCCAGAGTCAGTTTAACTCATAGATCCAAGTCTGTTCGGTCCTCTTAATTTATTGACTACTACCTTCCTAGTTGTTGAAAGAAACATTCTGACAGTATTTTTCTCAACAGAATAGAGATGTTTTTGGTAATATTTAATACAATTATGGTCAACACCAACAAAAACAACTTACTCCCTGAGGGAAAGTCAAGTTCTGTTTAACTCTAAAGCTGCTAAACGTAGGTCTCATGTATGGCCTGTTGCATTTTAAAAACACCATAATTAACCTTTAAGAAATGACAGAGTAAGAAAAAATAATGACAAAACCAGGTTTTTAAGGTGAAATTACCCCCTAGGGATTGTGACTGTTCATTTGCTCACTACAGCTCCTGTGCGTCTGGTGCCAGTTTTAGTTTCAGAGGCCTCATTCCCCAGACCTGTTCCTCAGAGTACTTGGATCAGCCTCCATACCAGGGGTGCAATGTAGGGGATTTCCACTGCTTAGTGGTCTGTTCCAGTGCAGGTTATACAAGCCACCAACCCTTGTGTAAACTAACAAGGATCAGAAACAGACATGCTGGACATGCAGTTCCTATGTATCCCTGTAACACCTTGTGATGGGATACAAGAGCCAACAGTTCATAAAACATGTTTTGAAACAGGGTTACTTTAATTCAACTCTGCTAACTGAGAAAGCAAAACTAGGCACTGGTTTCATAAATGAGGACAGCACCCTGGAATTCTTTCATTTTCAGGTCTAAAATGGATTTAGCCCCCAATGCATTCAGGTCAGACCTGCTAATTTGTGTGTTATAATGATCCACACTACTTCCAGTTTGCTGTGTGTATGTCTTCTCCAGGGTTGTGTGATTCCTACTAATTATGGCACCAGAGAAAAACAAGAGAGACATACAATATTAATGAGCAAAAGATGAATCATGTTTTAGAACAAAAGGCATTTATTGCTAAAATGCACTTGACTGAAAAAAGCAAAACACTTGATAATAATACAATACAGTTTGTAAATGAACAGAAGACAAATGCCATATTTAGACCAACATTTAAAGTAAATTCTTAAAAGTCAGGACTTGATCGTCCTTCTCCTGTTGCAAAAATATGGCTATATTTGTTCTCTAGCCTCTTGCAGTAATGGAAAATAATGTCCTATTAAAATTATGCATGTGTTCTCTTTTTAAAGAACATCTTCGTGTCTTTTTTAGTGGTCTACACACAATCTCTCCAGCTGTATTATAACAAGTATGCAACATCATGGATTCAATAGTCTTGTTGGAGAAAGAACAGTAATATCAAGATTTCTCCCAGCAGCAGTGTTCTCACCCTCTCCGAAGGGTCTGGCCAATGTGAAGGATTATCATCATGTACATTCACTTCCAAAGGGGAGTTTGTGCTTAACTGTTCTTCCAAATACCATACCGCACTCCTGTCTGGACGAGTCCCCTTTCATATTTGAGCACAGCGCAGTAAAAAAAAAAACAGTACAATATCTTGCAAGTGTCAAGATCTACGAAAAAGCTTTCAATATAGTTTTTTATATCTGTGTCTGCTTTATGTCAAGGTTGAGAGAGCACAAATAAAGACCTTAGCTTCTCTCAACACAACCTAGTATGTTGTTCTGGGGAACATCGGCCTTGTGCTTCACGGTTAACCAAAACATTGTTATCTAGGATCTGAACTATATGAATATTGTCAGAATATACTACTACATATTTCTCAGCATAAATATGAATTAATTTCCACATATAAGAGGATGTCATTTGTTTACATTAGATGAAGGAAAATCAGTTAATTTTCATTTTTTTAACAGTTTATTTTTCCAACAAAGTAGTTTTTTTTTCTAATTGGAGAGCAGTCTGCTGCAGTATGACTCTACTGGATTAGGCAACGCGTTTGGTCCAAACTGAGCCTGTAAACCCTTCTACTGTTGCTTCTCCAGCCAGTAAAAATGAATAGAAAAATACAAAGTTATAAAACTCGTGAAGACGCATCCATTGGAAGAAGAAAAAAAGAAGAAGTTGTGCCTTTCTCTGATAAAAACTTCCTAAGCCCTCCAGTAAAGAATCTAGAGCTTTTATTAAAGTCTATAAATCTCTCCTCACATTTCAGCACCTGAGCACATTTCCTGCTCAAACACTGCTGAAAGTCATAAAGGGAGTGGGTGATTTTGGCCTCTGCTGATAACAGTAATGAAGAATTATTAATGGGAGCTGGGTAGTGTTTCAGTTTTCTGATGCTTCTTTAAGGAGGAAACCTTGATAGTAGCCTCCTGGGAACAAGTGATTTTCAATCATTTTGCAGCTGGATAATGTCTCTTTCTACCAATAAATAAGAGACAAAAAAAAAAACAGGCATCTGACCCTTAGTCAGCACCCTCCCAGGGGTTAAACTGTAGGCTGTGAGTCAACAGATGAACCTGGAATTACAGGGAGCCCCCTGTTAAAACAATAGGTACAATAAACATCACAACTTCCCAACATTTGTGTAATACTCAAATATATAAAATGTTCAAATGGGATATCTACTTAACACACATAAGAGTGTTATGCAAGTAATGACAGTGATGTCAGCCAGAAATCACTCACCACTGGAGCTGCCCAGATAGTACATGCCAGTGATGCTACTGTATCTCTGTGTTGAATAAAGATTTAAACTGGATGATATGCATCACTTTTTTTCTGTACATGTAAGAAGTATTCAAAATCCACAAGGACACTGAAAAAGTCAACCCCAGCAGGCTTCTTCAGAATAAACACTAAAACACAAGGCAGGGGCCACGGGTCAAAACTATGAGGAAGTTAACAGAAAATTGAGTTATTGAAAATAGGAGGCAATTCTTTACGCAAAGGGTTGTGGGAGTAGGGAACAAGCTGCCCAGCCATGCTGCTGAAGTTGATACCCTGACGTCTGTCAAGGAGATCCTTGGATCAATTAGCTACTAACCTACTAAATGGGCCAAATGGGCTGACTGGCCTCCTCTCGTTTGTAAATGTGCTGTGTTCTTATGCCTGCAATAGATTCAGAAAATGGTAGTGTTCTGTAGCAATCATATGTCAGTAATGATACCACAGAGCATTTGAAAAATACCACAGAGAAACACGTCGCTTCTCAGATTATGCTGTAACTGATTCAATGCCAAATCAGGCGAAAAGTTAAAGATGAAAATGGATTAGGTTCAAACGCCAGCCACGTCAAGAATGCACTCGCTTGCATTTATGTAGCACTATTCATCCCAAAGGGGTTAAGTCAAAGTGGGTTCACCTGACCCACTTGGCCTGTCATTGAAGTGCACGTCTCTGGAGGAGTTCAAAATGGCTTCATCGCCTGTATGAAAGGGGAACTTCAGGAAGGCCAGATTTTGCAGCCAAGTGGGGAATTCAGTCAAGGACACTGGGTTTAACACCTCTACTTTTACAAACAGTACCATGGTAACGCAAAAGACCAAGCAGTCAGGATCTTGGTTTAACATCCCCATCTGAAGGACAGGACTTTATCATTTCAATTGGACTGTCTTTTCTGCTGTCCAGGTGTGCCTGTATATGCCCCGACTATGCATAATTCCTTAATTTAGTGTTTTACTTAATGTGACTATGTAAAATCTATCTGATATAAAGGTCAGGTCCACTGTGCTGGTGTTTTGTTGGCAACCCATACAGCAATTTGACTTTTTTTACTTAAATGCTATGTAACATCTCTCTTAGCTGTCACTGTGGGGAATGTGGTGATTTGTCTGGAACACTAATTAGGTGCTTCACTATCAGCAGGAACCACAGTAACCATATTGGCACTTAGCTGTTCTTTACCAACTGAACCTCATCCAATAGTGCAATTAGGACTTTCACTGGCAGAAACACATTCTGAAATCATAATGAAAAAGGCATAGAAAAGACATCTCCGGATATTTTGTAACTGACAGCTACAAGTGTGCTTTCATGAATTTATCTATCTGCCTGTGCTCTCCCACAGCAAGGTAGGACAGCCTTAAAAATGTCTCTTTTTTCACATTTTTTCAGACTTGAAGATCTTCATGCTAGAACTAGCCTGATGTAGTAATGTGCCTTAGATTCATAAGAAATATATCATTTTCTTTCCTCAAGTTAAAAAAACAAATGATCTACTTAAGATGATTTGATGTACTTTTAGAAATTCTGCACAGCTTGAAGGCAGAAATGAAATACGGATCCAGACTCCGTCACAAGCACTAAAATCGGCCTCAACTTCTAAATAAAATCATTCCTGAAATGAATAAATAAAGCTTTCTATTTACAACTGAAGACACACGCACAATAAAAAAAATCATTTTCTCGAGGCCCTATTTTGAATAAATTCTTCAATAAAGTGGCTTTTCTAGGTGTAGTAGAAAAATATGTTTTTCAGTGTGATCTAATAAAGATTTTCACACTGATGCATTGTGCTCCCAAGGCTGAATTCTGAGATTTGCCATCACCTCCCCTAAACCTCATTTATAAACTGAAGATACATTTATAAACCACAGGAAAATGTAATATCAGTCAGTGTGCTTTATCTGATTCTAATTTCACTGGCTGGTTCTTACAAGCTTCTTCTTTTCTTTATTTTCTCTGTATTTAATTTAGCATTTTCAAAGCAAAGGCTGGACAATCAAGGAAACTGGTACCTTCCACGTACAGAGGAGCTATAGCTTTTAGGAGCAGGACCTTGTCACTTTTTATCATCTCAGCCCTACAGTCACAACATCTTAATAGCGAGAGTATGTGATGATCTTCCCACATTATTCCTTCCTGACTCCTGGTGCTGAGGGCCTAGCGGGGTTTTTTATTGTGTGCTGAGAAATGAATTGTTGTCTTCTACTAAAACCAGCTTAATCCTCTATCCTGACCCCAAGTGGAAAGACCTCGCATGGAACTGGAAATGGTCCCTCCTACAGCTCCCTCCTGGGAAATACCTTAAGCGTCTGACCTTCGCAGGGAAGTTCAGAAGGTCACTGCGGCTGTACGAGAACAATTTATGGTATTCGTAAAAGAAAAAAACAACAAAATCTTCCAAATATTTCACTTAGAATTTACATTTAAATGGACAGAGGTGTGCGCCTCGCTATAGCAAAATCCATATTTCAGGTGGATCTGCTTCCGTCCAGTGTTCATCCTTCCGGTCTGTTCACTGCAGGTGGCTCCATGGGTGAAGGCACTACTTCAGAAAACCACTGTGCGTCCGCGTTGACGAAAGAGCAGCACAGCCTCTCCGAGGCTTCTGGGATGTATACAGTTCTCCACCTCTGTCCGTGCACTCTGAGGTGGTGGAAAAGGGGTACGGGGAAAGAGAGGGGTTGTGCACCGAGAGGGAATTTTCTGTGCTTTCTTCAAAGGTCCTCGTCGCTTCTTTGGAAGTAACAATGGCAGTGAATGTCAATGGTTCACCTTAACGCTCCTTGTGCTCGGAGACGCCAAACCTTTGAAGGCGAAGGTCCCGACTGTGTGGCGGGGGGTGTTTAAGAGACAGACTTAAATAAAAAAAAACTGATAATGCCAGAAAGCCCGGTCCTGTCTGCGCCAATCTGGTGGAGAAAGGCCCTATTCAGAAGCTTTCCACAAAGCTGCCAGGGAAGAGGCCCGTGCGGCCCGTGCGCTGCAGGGTTCCCTTGAACCACCCGTCGTCCCTCTTCTTGTGCACAAAGACAATGTCGCCCTCCTTCAGCTCGATCTCGGCCTCGCTCTGAGGTGGGTAAGGCACCACCACGCGGTACCTGTGAAGAAAAGCAAAGAGCTTTAGAAGATTCGCCACCGTAGCCCTGGGGAGACAGTCAGAAATCGCCGCTCTCAAAATGTACGGAGCAGAACTGAATTATCAAAGTCAAATGAATCCCTGAAGGTATTAAAGCAGGAAATAAGTCAGGGAATGTACTGCATGTACTGACAGGTTCACCTAAATGTTTCATTTACAACAAAAAAAAGTAAGTGACAAATGTGGGGATGTTCAGAACTGTTCTTGCTGATAATTGGCAGTTAAACCCACCAAAACAAACAAATATGACATTTTTCATTCTTTGAAAAAAAAAAGACTTTTAAATGTATGAGAGCAACTATCGTAATGGAACATAAAATTAGTGCCTTTTCTCCTTCTTACCAAAGGGAATTTCAAATGGCATCGGGGACACAGACAAACATTTCATTTTCATGAAGAACTTGCTGGTGAGACTCCCACGAGTCTAACGTGGCAATATCCATTGCATACTAAAGAAAAGCACAACAACCAAAGTGTGAGCCAATGCAATAAAGAGGAAGGTTGCCTGACTATCAATATCAGTTTGCTGTGATTGTCGCTTGAGTGAATTGTTCATTCAAAAATACATAAACGTTTTAGGAACAGCATACAGGACTTGCATGTGTATGACTGACTCTTTTTCTTGCCATTGGCCTAGCACACTTGGAAAATTACAGCTCTAGCCATTGCAGCAGAAAGGTTAAAGGGAATGCATGATGGTAATGAACTTCATTTAATATAGTGTCTGGAAAAGCCACCCCAGTGCACTCATCTCAAATTCATTTCAAAACACTTAATGATGTCTAGGAGCTGCAAGATAAAAGGAAAAAATATGGATGCTTTTTAGGATGCTGCTGTTTTTCTCCAACACCTATTGCATATATAAAGACATTAAGTTAAATCGGAATTTTTAAAGCCTAGGAATTAACTGTAAAACTGAAGCATGATTCTAAGCTTCACAATCCTTTATTGTTGCTGCTTACGTTTCGGCAATCCATACAAAAATCATTTAAAGCTTTATTATTAAAGATTCTTCTGGACGGTAATTGTTTTTTTTTCAATTTGAGTGCATTCAGCAGATCTGTGCCCTATTTTATGAATTGATACAGAGGGGTTAGGGCTGCTTGCAAAAAAAAACAGTTCACAGCCAAATACATTTCAGACATCGATTTTGCTCACAACGACATGCATTTGTCCCTGTAATTACAGAAAAATGAAGGCCTCTCGTGGCTTTTCCACAATTGCAGCAATATTCTTTCTGCGCTGACTACATTCAGTGTGCTGCTTTCAGAAAAATCAATTGATCGTTTTTCAGTCTGGTGATAAATCAGCCTTTCTTGAGCTCTGAATGACAGATCTGAAAGGAGATCTATAACTCAGTCAGGGAGGGACAGCGTAATATGTTGCTATTCGAGAGTCCTGTAGCTTTGTGCCCATGTGGAAAAACATTGTTAACAACCTGATTCATCAAATAAACAAAAACAGAAGGTTTATGAAAAAAATCATACACAACATGCCTCTCCTGACCCAATAAAATCACTGAGAATGCATATACTAGGACTTAACAGTATTCATAAGCATATATATTTACAGCAGAAACACATATCTAGAGAAATTTCTCAGGCAAATATTTCAAAATTCAAAACCACTGCAGCTCCCAAAAATATTATAAAGTACAGATTCCCATTTAATTCAAATACGAAAGATTGCAAGCCTTTCAGTATCACCTGTCTCAGAACTGCACTCGTATTTCATATGTGTAAGCTGGGGAAGGAGGGGGGGGGAGGGGTTGGTGACAGAGGCCTGGATGTTCCCCAAAGTGAAATGGGCGATCGAGACGCGAGAAGCAGCCTGGGCTCTGTTATTTCTCTGGGGGGCTCAAGATGAAGCTAAATCCCTGAGCGCACAGACACATCTCCTGTCCTTGCTCTTCAGACCTTTGGACATCTGGTATCAGACCTGGCATGCCTTGAAATGTCTCCATCTCAAAACATCGTCTCAGCTCATACCCCTACTCTGCCTGGGCTCCCTGTCTAGATTCTGCTGCCCTGAGGTCTGCTGTCATGACGTAGGTGTGCTTGTGAGCTTAAATGGTTGCCACGGTGATTCACTGAGCATGTTTTACTGAGGACACTAGGACTCTTGGCTGACAGTAGGCGCTATACAGATTCTACTTCTCTGAGCGACTTAATTCTTTCAACGGTGACAAACACTGGATACCTGTGCACACATACATATGAATGGCTGACACCTGTGTGAATTCCTTCCTGAAAAGGAATTAATAAATGTAGAGGAGATCAAGATTTGATTACTAGGTGGTGAGACTGCTTCAGAGCATTACAAATTAAAATCCTCCCCAAACAACCTGGAACTGGTGTGTAAGTGCTAATTGGAATTGGTATTCGCACTCACTGTCGGTGACTTCACAAGCATTGTTAAAAACTATGTCCACTTATAATGCACTCACACAGTAGCTGCTTCCCATAATGCTTTTAATGCTGTAATTTTATATTCTGTCCTCTTTATTCCCTTTTTATTTCTTACTCACATTATCTGGATGTACTGTGAAAGTGTCAAGGCTTTTTGCACAAGTAGAAACCTCTTTCCCACCTTGTATTTTCTATCTTCATATAATACCCTCCTTATCAACAATAAAAAAATGAAATCTGCTTTGAACTTGTCTTAGGTCTTTTTGTATTTTTATTTGCAGCTTCTAGAGGGTTCACTAACCATCCTATGTTGGCATCACCTGTTAGCGTGACTAGTTTACTTGTCAACTGGAATGTGGAGATCAGAATATAAATTATGAAGAGTAGTGGTCCTAATACAGATCTTTGTAGTACACTAATTACATCACACCTGTTCACCATTTAACTGTACCATCCATTAACCCGTTCTGTATCCAAATGCATGTTTCAATGACTTCCTTGCAATTTGAGAATTAACCTTTTATGAAGAGTTTTATCAAATGTTTTCTGAATATCTTAATATACTATATTGAATGCTTTGTGTACTATATATCCACTACTGCTGTTGGTTGTTCAACAAGTTAGGAAGGAATACCTTTTTTAAAATCCATCGTGACATTTGACTTGAATTTCCACGTGGACAATCCTCAGATTTATTTTGAATAATCATTTCTATAATTATCTTACTTGTAATAGAAGTAAGACCTATTCTTGTATAATTACTTTTTTGGGTTCTGTCACCCAGTTTATGCAAGGGCACTACTATCAACTTTAAGTAAATGCGTATTACCCCTGTTTTGGGAGCGCTGGAAACATTTTGTCAACAGCCTTGATTGTTAAGGGACAGCTGTTATAAAACAGGCACTATAGATGTCTTTATCTTAAGTGCTTCCATGACCTGTAAAACTTCTATTCTATGCTAACATTCATCAATACCAAACAATGTCTTTCCCAAGGCTGAGACTTGCTGCTTATGTCTTCTTTAGTAAACACTCAATATTGATTTCTTAAAAAAAATCTGCTATCTTCTTTTTACGGTCTCTAAACTCTAGAAGCTTACATTAATATCCCTGTAACATTTCACTGTTTTTCTTCGGTGTAGGCAATGCCTACAAAAAGTTTAATTTGAAGCTCAACTGTGATAGTCCTATTAGTCGCTCAAACATTCGAATACCTTTTTACCTGAAGATCATTATATTACTTTTCCTTTAACAGTATTCCTTTGTGGTGTTTTGACAGTGTTATCTTTTCCCTTATATTTCTCTTCATTTATATATTACCATAATCATCACTGTTTCTAGCTTTGGATTCACTTTCTATAGGAATGGATTTATTCTGTGCCTCAGGCAGAATGGCTGTAAGCCAAATTCATTTGCCACTGACTACATACCTTTCACAGTGAAAACTATCACACTGAATAAACATGAAATAATTTGACTGCAAACATGGAATGTAAAGTGACTGTACTTTATCCCAGCATTTAACCTTTCAAGAGCTGAAATAGGTCACCTTCCTCAAGCCTGTGAGGACAGGTGGTCATAGGAGAACAAACAAAACTCTGAATCAATCTGGACCAAAAAAAAAAGACAGAAGACAAAAGCAAGAACATGGCCAAAGTGCAGGAAAGCTACACTCTTCCATTCCCCTTTCTGCATGCCAGAGGAATTTAATTAATCATAATCAAAAAGTAATTACCGTGAAGCAGCACTGAATGACTGCATAACTCATTAGAGCTGAAAGTCGGACAGCGTTGCAATGTTCTCCTGCGTCTTGCAGTGAGCTACACCCGATTTACAACAGGATGGAGTAAGACAAAATTAAAATGTCTAGGGCCTGACTAGCTATGGGCGCTTTTAAATTAAATAGTGTATTTTCATAATGAAAACGCTCCCCATTTAACCACGACCCAAAAAGAGTCTGGGCTCTCACTTTTGATTTATTTCACATTTCTGACTGCAGAGTGCCACAGGGGAAACAGTCAATTTAAATGTCTAACCCATCTACTCCAACTAGTGGGATTTGCAATTTGTTAGCTATATTAGATTGGAAACATTTGGAATTTGTTTTTCACAAGCCTTTAAAATGAACAACTCCAGATACTGTATATTCGAATATCAGCAACGATGGATGTAGTGCCTTTGTCTCTCTTCTAGGGAGTCCATCTGGTTTATTTTTAATTTTAATTTTTCCTTTTAATTTAAGATCAACTTTACCAATGTGCACATCTGCAAGGTATTAACTGGTCCTTAATGCGTAATCCCTTCCATGTTCCACAAAACATTTTTAAAATATTTTTTAGTGCATGTATATAGCTTTTTTTTATATAGTGAACCAAGATATTTAAACATTATTTAGTAAGGTTTAATACTGAACATTACTAAAGTGGCACATTAACATAAGAAAATGAGTTTTTCAAGGAGTTCTCTGTGATCAAGGCACAAATTGATTTAATTTTGCTGTGGTGGTAAACTTACGCCCAGAGCTTTACTAAGCAAGGAAATATGATAGCCTGGTGGTGGGATGTCCTACCTGAAGGAACTGAGCAGTTTTAATCCCCAAGGGAGAAGACTATAAGGGGACATGATGCCAGTATTCAAAATCCTCAAAGATATCAAGCCCTCTTCAGAATGAACAGTGAAGCACAGAGTGGAAGTGTTGAAAACTGAGAACAGGAGGCACTACTTTACATAAAGGTTGGCGGGAGTGTGGAACAAGCTACCCTGCCATGTTGCTGATAATCTGGTCTCACTCAGAGTGCTGTCGGATGAGATCCCTGGATCAATGAATTACTAACTACCAAGTTAATAAACTAGAAGGGCCAGCTGGCCTCCTCTTGTGCCGACTCTTACCTCTCCCGGGACAGGGGCTTCGGCTCCGGCCGGATGGCGATGAGCGAAGAGCAGGGCTGCCTGGCGGGCGGCGAGACGGAGAAGTTCAGATCCAAGGAGCCGGACTTCCTGTGCAGGGGCTCCATGCCCATGGCCCCCTGCATCTCGCTCTCGATGGGGCAGGACCCCGCCCTGCCGTGGCTCAGCCCCGAAGGCAGGTTGGCCGCCGTGGCCCCCTGCATGGGCCCCTCAGCGGCGGCGGCGGCGGCTGGTGTCTGCGGCTCGTGTGTGGGCGAGACAGAAGGTGGGGAACGGGACTTCTTTTTTGCCGACGCCCCTGACAGGAGCTTCAGCAGCCCGCCTGCCTTCTTCTCCTTCTGCAAAAAGGACACGGACACGCTCGAGTTAGGACCCCCAATTCCCCACACATCCTGCGGTGGTCAGCATTCAAAGATGGGAGCCCCAAGCTGGCTATCGCACACTTTCACACAATGGCATCTCACACTGCACGCACAGTTTCATCTGGTTTCGGCAATGGGTGACTCCAGTAGCTATCATCTCAAAGGTCTCTCATGTACGAATGCTAAAGCCCAGAGACATTAACAGCGAGAGAATTTGAACCTCCAAGGAATATTAATACTGTTGGAATCAATATTGAGGGCACCCACAGTCTGCTTCCCAAGAACCGTAATGCTTGAGGTTTCTGTTCCACCCTCAGTTCTTGAGTAACCTACTTAAAGTAGGTTGATTATTCATATAATTCTTCAATCGCAATGCTTTCCAGGACTGTAGGCAGTGATGGATTAAACTGAATTATAAAACCTGCAGGATCTGGCACTCCAGGATCAGGTTTTCCATCTAAATAGCTCATTATTTTGAATAACATGTTAATCCCTTCTTTGGAAAACAACCGTCATTAACAAGAGGTCCCAGAAGATCTGTCACTGAAGAAACCATGATAACGCACACAGTTTAGGCACACATTGGCAGGAATCTTCACCGAAGAACTTCATACATAAGCATTCTCTCTCACACATTTTGATTTGCATGAATTGATTCCCTATCTTATGAACAGAGGCCTGTCTCTTTCACTACAATTCACACCCACTGGCCAAAATTAAGTAACATTTGTTTTCCGAGTGAAGAGATGAGCCAGTGTGCGAACTGCAAAGGAACATGCAGAGATTAATTCCACGCCTAAAAGCAGAAAGAAGCAAAAGACACAATGTTTTCCCTGTGTTGCCTCTTCGGCTCAGTGTGTTCCCGAAGAAGGCCTGTCAGCTGAAACACTGAGATTTTTCATCTTTTCTTTCTACTTTTCAGTGTGGAATGAATCACTGCTTGAACATACATATCCACACACATATCATGGTCTCCAAACTGTCACTGCCTCTTTCATCTCTGCAATTCACTTGCCTTAACCGTTTTGAAACAGAAAAAGAATGAAGCTTACATTTCCCCAACCTAAAATGTACAGGGAATAATGAAGGACAATGTGCATTAAATCACCATTAGGGGGCATGTAACACTACTTTGGGTCACCTCAGCAACAAATCAGAAAATTGGTTAAAAGAGAAGCTTCTGTCTAGCAAGACAGACAACAAGACAATTTTATTTACTGTAGTTCATTGCTAGGGGTCCGTCCATCCATTTTCTAACCATTTTATCCAGTAGAGGATCACAGGGGTGCCTGAGCCACAGGTGTAAGACAGGATACATCCTGGACAGAAAACTGTTGCATACACAGACACACATACATTCTCACACCAGGACTAGTTTTCCCAGAAGCTGGTTAACCTACTACTATGTGTTTGGAAACCAGAGCATCTGGAAGAAATCTAGGAGAACATGGGGAAAACATACAAACACCACACAGATAGCACCCCAGGACTGGAATGGAGCCCAGGGCCCAAGCACTGTGAAACAGCAATGCTAATCACTGCTCCACCATGCTGCCCTTGCTAAAACTTCTACTATTAAGGGCCTGAAACATTAGGTTGAAAAATTGAAAAACAAGAGAAGAAACTGGCACATAAGTGACAAGAGAATACTCTCAAGAGGTAATAAATTAAATACAGATTTTGAAGTGCAAAGAATGATGAGGAAGCAGTGGTCTTTAAAACAAACATCCAGGTACTAAAACACTCCCAGCCACAGCATGCTTTCCAAACGCTCACTTTACAGCAATACGAAGACTATCTTTGGACTTTCTTATGCAATTAAGTTGCCTGGAATGTCCAATAGCAGCAAGATTTTCTTTAACAAACCACATAGTTTTAATTACTTCAATTTTAAAGTTATTTTATTTAGCCTAGTAGAATGGACCAAATACACTAAAGAAGACTAAAGCAGAGGAATTGTTAACCGTTCAATCTACAGCGCTCTCCATAAGTGTAGATCAAAATCGCTCTTTTTGCTGAATACTCAAGCAATTCACATTTGACACAAAAAGATGGATCCTGAGGCAAAAGTCCAGAATGTCACCTTTTATTTGCAGGTATTTCTACACATATACTGTATGCTTTAACGTTTTAGAATAATACCACTTTTTGTATTCCATCCCCCTGATTTAGGTGAGTATAAGTACTGGGACTGATTATAAACTGATTGTAAAATATAAACTATTTTTTTGTAATTAGTAAATTAAAGTAATAAAACTTGGACTTGGTTGCAAATCCTTTCTACGCAATTACTGCATCAAGCTCTAAGACCCATTGACAGCAACCAGACTCTAGTTTTGTTCTTCAGAGATGCTTTGCCAACCCTTTGCTGTAGCCATTATTGGTTGGTGTTTGTTGTGGAGGGTTTCTGACTTCAGTATCCTTTTCACCGAGGGAAATACATGCTTGATTGGAATTAAATCAGGAGATTGACTTGGACAGTCAAAGACTTTACACTTTGTTCCACTGAGCTCCTTGTTTGCTTTAGCTGTGTGTTTTGGGTCATTGTCTTGCTGCATGATCAGGCACCAGCCAATGAGTCTGGAGGCATTTTCTTGTACATACAGCAGAAAAGATGTTCCTGTACAGTTCTGAAAGACAATCATTAGTTATGACATCAATAAAGAGAAGTGAGCCTGTTCCAGAGGTGATCAGGAGTTATGATCATGGTATATCATAACTTCACCATGTTACACAGATGAAGTGGAATGCTTTGTTTCGTCTGCAGTCTATTGCTTTCTCCATTCTTTCACCTTGCCATTACTTTGGTAAAGGATTATCCTTGACTTACTTGTCCATAACACTTTGTCCCAGACTTCTACTGGCTCATCTCAGTAGTTTTCAGTAATTTGTAATCTGGCTTTTCTATTTTTAGTGCTGATGGCAATTCTGCCATCGAATTATAATTCTGCAAACAGTAGATTGTGATGCCTTCACCCCTGCACTGTGGAGGTTGTTGGTGATCTCAGCAACCGTTATTTTAGATTTCCTATTCTCAGCTCAGATAATTTTTCTGTCATCAACTACAGTTGTTTTCCTCGGCCAACCTGGTCGCTGTTTGTTTACATATAGCGGTGGTTTCTTTCTTTTTCAAGATATACACGAAACAACAACATAAAAGCACAGATATACCCAGAAATATGAGGTGACATTCTGTACTTTTACCTCATTCATCTTTTCAACTCAAATCCGAACTGCTTGAATATACAGAAAAAAGGACCATTTTGACATCAGTGACCCAATACCTATGGAGGGCACAGTATGTAAAGAAAAAAAGTGCTCCTCTCAGTGACGAGTGAGGCTGCCCTGTAGAGAGAAGATTAATGGATAGAGGTGATCTGGTGTGTATTAAGGGCCATGTGGCTGTGGATGGCAGGAGGGTCTACAAGGGGCTGCCAAATCCAATAAACATTTCATGAGGCAAAGCCACCACAGCCAGGAATGTCTCTCCATCAAGGGCCAGGCCACAAGACACCGTGTGGCACGTCAGCCTGGATATATATATATAGTTTACCCATGTAGTCCAAAAGCTAAACAGAGGCCATTCATCTTCCATAATCTGCTTGTAAACAAAATGGAGAGGAAAGCAATTCTGACTGTTTGCTTGCGGCAACGCAAATTCACTTAGCTGATTTTGTGAAAGCGTGTGGCCGATGCAAATCAACGAGTTCAACGGAAAACACTTCAGTTTAGGTTAATATACGTCATTTCACAAGGCCTCTTAGTATTGTAACTCCACTAGGAAAAAAAGTGTATACCCACAGTATACCCATCTCTTTATAGGTAGGATTTTTGTCAGTTTCTGGCTGACAGTTACCCTGTAAAGAGAAACAGGTATGAGAAGTGAAACACATTCAAACTGAAAAGGAATTGGTGTTTCATCCTGTGAATGAGACGCACAAAACATGTATTCAAACTGTAAATAAATGTAGTTTTGCTCTACCTATTGGCTTCTGTTTCTTCTGTGCTCATAATTACTTTGGCCTGTTTACCACGATCACAAAAATGATTTATGTTTTTTTTTTCCCCCCAGAAAACACCACATAAAATAAAAGCTCAAATCAAAGGTTCACAGTCGGAAGGTTGAGAGGGCCACAGTCCAGACCCTGCATGATACTAAAGAGGCTCAAAATGAAAGCTTTCCTGGTAAACGCATCCTTGCGTTCTGTGACAGTGAGAATAGCTTCCTCCTGCTGTCCCATCTGTCACATAGCAATGCATTACTACAATTACCACGAAGCAGAAACGGAAAAACTGCAGGTCTGGAACCGCTACGCTATTTTGTCTTGGTCTCAACTTCCTCTCCTGTACCCACCGAACAATGCACGGTTCTGAACCCGTGACCCCCACAGCAGAGAGTATCAGGCTCCAATTACTGTGCACTCGGTTGTGAAAATGTAATAGCTCAATTACTTCAGAGAGGGAGGGTGGGGAGGGGGCAGCTTCACACTGAGCACACAGCGTGCCTCAGAGGAGCCAAGACCAGAGCCCCCCCCTCCTCCCCACCAGAGGGGCGAGGTCAGAATGGCTGGGCTGCAGAACGCGACGATTCCAGTCAATCAAGCAGATGTGAGGCCCAGTCTAATGGATGAGTCAGAGCCCATCATCAGGGAATAATCAAAGCCAAGCCGCACAACGTACAGTACAATACCTTAGATGGCAGAGCCCATGGTTACTCGAAGACTTCCACTTGGCTCATCTTTAACGAGCGAATGTGATTAGCTGTGATTGCGAATTCTATTTTTTGTGTCGGCGAAGAATCAACCAGTTTTTTTTTTTAAAAGACTTTTTTTGCGTCTTTAATATGTCTGAGGAGTGATGCGCACACCCTATTCTGGCAGAACGTAGTTTCTTGTTTAAGGCAGATCGTAGGGAAAAACATTACCCGTTTCCAAAAGTTGATGGAAGGTTGCAGTACAGAAGAAAAATGCAAGAAAACATAAGGTTTTCACAACACTATTTATAGTATTGTCTATGTCAAAAATAACATTCTAGCAATGATGCAGAACATCAAGTGATTCAGGGTGTGCATATGTTTTTCAAGATATCACCTGGGGATGCCTTCTACTCTTCAGCATGTTAGAGTTTGTAAATAATCTGAAATATCCCAACATTAGCTATTTAAAATTACAGCATACGTATTGGCAATATTCTGTGATCGTAATTACAAAAAAGCAAAATACGAGGTTTTGTTAATGCATCACAAAAATTAGAGTTTACAACTGGGGCTCAATATTTTCACACTACAAAACTGCCAAAATACTATACTTCAGTGCTGTAAAATAGCTATTTATGTTATTGAATGGTGACATTACAACAACATTAAACCTCCACTGTAACACCAGAATATGATAAAACTGAAGCAAAAGCCTAAAGTCCACGGAGCATAATTAAAACAAGACGACAATGCTGAACATGTCCCAATACAACAGAAAGATGCAGCTGTATGTTTAAATTGTAGCAGAAGCAACAACTGTAGTGCACCAAATAGATATTGCCCTTTTTGGATATAAAGATACCTTAACATCTGCAGTATCAACACATCAGAGGACAAAGGAGTAACAGGGAAATTTAACAATGAAACAGACATATAAAACACAACCCTGAATCCTGTTAAAATGTTTTTTTAATGCTAATGAGTTCCCACTTAGTCGTGTATGCCTTTAAGATCCTGCTCAAATTATCTTATTTAAGGCTGATTAAAGAGGGGTCTTCTTTTTATGCTAATTAATATTTTCACTTCTGTCTTTGAGGGACCAGCTGGAACTAAATATTATGACTTTGAGCAGTCCTGGCTAATCCGACACAAGCAGTGTTGTAGTGTTTGTGACAAACGAATGTGAGCCATAGAGTACCACAGTGTCTCCATTGAACCCTTAACTGAACCAAATAGAACTGATTTTTAACTTTTTGTTTTCCCTGCACCGGACTTGGTTCCACAAATAATCTCCTATATGTGTGTGACGGTCAAAGGTATGGGGAGCAGACCTCTGTTTCAGCTTGGACTAATTCATGCTCCTCTCAGCTGTTTAAGAGCACGAGGACTGGTGTTGAGTATCAATTAATGCCATTTCAGACACAGGAGGAATGACACTGCCGAAGACTCCTTTGTGTGCTCTTCGTGTTGAAAGGGCCCACTGGGTACATTCAACCAAGTCACTCAAACAGTAAACCTGAGTGAGAAGAGAACTGGAACCCCACATCTGACAGATTTCATGCTAATTCCTTTGCTGATTCAAAGAGCGAAATGGTTTTGAAAATACAATCCAATGATCAAACTAATGGAAATCAGTTGCAATAAATACCAGAAGACCTACTGTAGTAGTACACAGAAAACCAGGGAAGCTCAGCTGTTTTACTATATAGCTATTGTAGGCAATAAGAGGATAGCAGAGAGATGTAATAATAATAATAATATTATTATTATTATTATTATTATTATTATTATTATTAATTGCTTACACTTATAAAGCGCTTTTCTGGACACTCCACTCAAAGCGCTTTACAGGTAATGGGGACTCCCCTCCACCACCACCAATGTGCAGCATTCACCTGGATGATGCGACGGCAGCCATAGTGCGCCAGAACACTCACCACACATCAGCTATTAGTGGGGAGGAGAGCAGAGAGTAATGAAGCCAATTCATAGATGGGGATTATTAGGAGGCCATGATTGGTTAAGGCCAATGGGAAATTTGGCCAGGACGCCGGGGTTACACCCCTACTCTTTTCGAGAAACGCCCTGGGATTTTTAATGACCACAGAGAGTCAGGACCTCGGTTTTACGCCTCATCCGAAGGACGGCACCTGTTTACAGTATAGTGTCCCCATCACTATACTGGGGCATTAGGACCCACATGGACCACAGGGTGAGCGCCCCCTGCTGACCCCACTAACACCTCTTCCATTTAGTAATCCATTTAGTGTTATAGGTCACCCTAAATCCCTAAACCCTAATCCCTAAAAGAATCTCCAGCCCTCGTCCTACAGAGTCCCAGTCCAGTTATTCTTATTGGTCACCCCTTCAATTAGGGGTCTCCAAACCTAGTACTGGAGAGACCTAATCCAGTTAATCTGATAGGTCACCCTAAATCAGAGGAACTCTAGCCCTGGACCTTTCTTCTGGTCCTGCTTAATTGATTAGCATTAACTTGTTCCAGGTCTTTAGAAATGACTGACTTAATAATTACAAAACCTATTAAAAAACCAATAAAGAAAAGTCTTGGCTTTGAAGTGCAGAATAGAAATGTGATCAAAGAGTCTAGGATATCTGCTTTTAACGAAGTAAATGACATGGTGCCAGGTAAAGTGATCGGTTTTCCTTATGTAACGCATAGCTAGAGCTAGAGAAGCACGGATTCACAATGCTAACTATAGCTTGAAAGGTAGGTAGAGAGAACAGAATTAAACGCTGAGGACAGGCAACCCTTATTAGAAAGTGGCCCTAGGCTGTTTTCTCTTCAGCCTGTGGGGAGATAAAATACAAATGTCAGTGGTGTCGAATAGCAATCTATTCACTGCTACCACACTAATGCACTTTGCCTTATTCTCATTTCGTTTACTTAGACCGTCCTGCAAAAATGTGCACTAAAACCCACAGCACCCACACTTGGGACCCATTAATCTTCTCTAAGTGTCATGTTGTTGGTGAAATTTTGTGAAGCCTGAGAATAGTCAGAGCGGCAGCTTTTCAACTCTGGCTCCCACCCAGTCCCAGAGAGTCCTCGCATGGACTCAAACGAACTGAGGGGTCAACAGTTTTTAACAGGTGATTTGACAACAAGTTGCATCTAAGAACACCTGCAGTGAAGCGATAGGGGCGGCATGAAGAACTAAGACACAGGCGTTGTTTTGACAGCGAGTATTGTTGAGCAGCAGTCATTGTAACGGCAGACATTTGTAGACACAACAATCCTTGCTGAACACTGTCTTCCAGTTTGAAATACTGTAGGTGCATTTATAAATTGGGGGAATCTTTTGTGGCGCAGTAATGTTGATAAAGTACTTTGTAGGATCCAGTTCAGATCCTGTTCTAAAATGTTTCGAGTTCCTCCTCCCACACTTGACAATCGCAGAGATTAAGAGAAAAACAATCATGCATTTGAAGGATTCAAAGTTATCTGATGTGGGAAACAACGATTTATGCAATGAATCCGAGGTGCTCTCCAGTTCACCGGTTTTCAAAAACAGGAGGGAGAGCTCTTGTTTCTACAGCTTGTTCTGAAAAGGCCAGGCATGCCACTCGTGCTCACAAGGTCTTCCCTTTGACACGTCTGTTTTTCCTATGAATGCAACTTTTTATTTTTACAAGAAAGAACAGAAGGTCACAGATAGCTCTGTATGGCACTCAAAACCCTTTTCACTAGATTGTAAACAGAAGAAAAGCAAGAGCAAGAAATTGACAGAAACTTCCAGTCTTATGGAAACACAATATAGCACGAAGCACCAATTTTATTTTTCCTTCAAGGAGAAATGGAAAAACGAATGAGAATGATAAAACTTTTATTCTGAGCTCATTCAGCGGGCGAGCACTTCAGTTCTGAAGATGAATGCGACTGAGGCTTCTTTTCCTACCTTTTCCACTTTCTTCTCTTCTGGCTTGGGCAGGCAGGCGGAGGCTCCGGGGGGCTGTGCCGGCGAGGGTGACCGCAGTGGGCCCACGGCCGCCTCTCCGTTGAGGATGGTGGCGCTGACGTTGGGCGGGGTGATGGCGGCCGCGGCCGAGGTCAGGGGGATGGCGGAGCGGGCGCCGGGAGAGCCCGGCCCGGCCAGAGGGGTGGCGGGCGGAGGAGCGTGCTGGGGGGACGCGGCGGACAGTGGGCGGGTCACTGCGGCCTGGGAGCGACAGGAGGAGGAGGAGGAACTCTGGTTGCGCAAAGGGGGGACGGTGGCGGTGGGTCGCTCGGGACCAGGAGCGGGAGGGCTGTGCACTGCATGAAGAGAACCAAGACCCAGCGAAACCCACGTCAGACACCTTCACACTCTGAAGCAGCAGAGATACACAGACACAAGGGCAGCAGGAAGCACAGACATTAAAGCAGACAGAGCGGCTATGAAGCAGCAGCACCTCATGCAACACTGAGCGGACCTGTTGACACAGACAACTCATTAATAATAGCTTAGTCAATTAATAACTCATTAACAATAACTCAAGAGCCCAAGTTTTCTGAAGAGCTCCCTCTTAACTCCTAATTCTCATGTGCAGGGTAAAAACCATAGATATTCTGCGTTTTCTGATACCAGTTACCTGTTAATGTCAAGGAAGATGTCTGAGATAATGTGGGAAAAAAAAACATCCAAATGCTGTGGTGAACAACAACAAAATTTCAAACTAGTTTTTTTGGCTTCATAGGCACAGTACTGGGAATATTTAACAAGCATCAATATCACTGATATTTTTCTTCTGAATAATATAAACACAATCTTGTCTTTTTAATGATAGTTAAACTTGTTTACTAAAGTCCACATCGCTATGGCAACAAAAGCATCACGCCAACAAGAAAAATGGGACTCTGGGGACAAACTAGGTTTGTATAAGTAGTCAATCTGGAAAATATGTATTTTTTTCTCTGAAGAACCATACTTGTGGCAATGGGCTGTCACTTCAAAGTATTTGGGTAGAAATGTGCTTTCAGCCAAGCTGTCTTTTTGTCTGGTTTAAAAGCTCTTGAGTTTATTTTATTTATTTTATCAAAGTACGCAACACTTTGCACCAAATTTTCTTCATTTTCTTGTGAAATAAAGGGTGGACAGGCACTATAAATGCTAAATAATAAATAAACATTTCGTATACTCATATAGCGCTTTTCTAGACACTCCACTCAAAGCCCTTTACAGGTGATGGGTACTCCCCTCCACCACCACCATTGTGCAGCCCCACCTGGATGATGTTATGGCAGCCAAAGTGCGCCAATACACTTACCCCACATCAGCTATCAGTGGGCTGGAGAACACAGTAATGAAGCCAGTTTATAGATGGGGATTATTAGGAAGCCAAGATTGATAAAGACCAAGGGCCTTATGTATCTAACACAACACCAAGACAACACAAAACACAGCAGATGCACACACAGCAGTATGTAGCAGACATGGGTTTGTCCATTATGTATTAAATTAGAATTTAACTATTACCATAAGAAAACAAACAGTGCACTACCAAGTAAAGAAAACAACAGTAATAAGAAGATATGTTGAAAGGAAAGGAGGTCACTCAGCTCCCTGACACATCATTGTGAAGGGTTCGTCAGCATCCCTATGACTCAGCAGCTGGAATATGACTTACAATCAGTCCACAGTTCTAACCTTCCTTTTGTCAGAATAATAAAAAGGAATAATCTCTAAAGGTCTAATCCATACATGGCATGTAGGTCTAGTGTCTTCTGCAGGTGTACAACAGGTTAAGTGGCAGGATTTTTAAATGTCCAGTGCCTTTGCATCAAAACCCTGTTCAAAATGAGCCAAAAAGACAAAAAAATAGACTAACCTAGTTACACTGCTTGGATTTTATTTTGCATTTTGTGTTTCTAAGGACTGTGCTAAATACTGTACTTTTGTAACCATCAGACAGTGTACTGAAAAACACCTTACTGTGAAAAGCATCTTTAATTACAGTTCACTTTTGCCTCTTACCTGTCTCTTTAATCACACGGTTCTTAGAGATTCAGAAAGCCCTTTGACGTTTTTAACAAAATTCCACAATGTTGCTTTATTGTACCTAAACCAAAAGTAATAATTACTGAATCTGTAATCTGTCAAGTCTTTACTTCAGAGAACTCACATTTTTATCAGTTCCACTTGCCTTAGTCTTTGATTTTCAAAAGTTAGTAAAAGGTTTACTAAAGCATGAATCCAGTTTTTGGTACATTTCCAAATGTTTGTAGTTTGCCTCGTTAGGATTATCCATATTTAACTGCAACTTTTCCTTTTTGTATCTAAAAGTATTTAAATTGATTTTTTAACTTTAATTACCTAACTGACTGGTAAATAAAAAACTATGTAAACTTGTAAAACGCTTAGCAAATGTTAGAAAACTAAAGCCACTGTGACTTCTCAAAATACATGCACATTAAGCTTTTTCAGTAATACCCAGATTAACACAGAATATTTACAGCTAAAACTTTTGGGAAAAAATCAGATAATACACTTTTCTACATCTGTGATTCAACAATATTCTGATTTTGTTTTGTATTTGTATCAATTTTGTTCAGTGTACTTCTTCACCATTTAAGCTAATTTATGATTTATACAAAATCCTTCAAGCAAGGAAACACAAGAGTATGTTTATGGTGTATTTCCCAAAAATCTTCAGCTGCTCTCTCAGAGAGTGAATCGATTGTTTCAAATGCACTGATTTCACTTAATAAGTTAAGTGACTTAAGAGAGACCCAGTGGACCATGAAGAAACGCACACACATTTTTTCTGGCCTTTTATGATCAGTTGGAACCCTTAGTACCTTTGTACAGTCCAGGCTCTAGAATAATGTTATAAACTACCAGGTACAACCTTCTTTTTTTGGCTATAACATCTTTGTTCAGTAAAGCCTGTTTGTGGGGATCTCTGGGGGACACAGATTCCCCTTTTGCCTTTTACATTAAATACTGAACATAAGAGGCAGCGCAATAACACTGGTCTCTTTGCTCTATAACCAGTTATTAAGATTCTCATATAAACCACTCTAAATCAATGCACTCTAAGTCCAATCTGGAACAGAAACTTCCATCTTGTAGGTGAGGACAGTGTTATTGTTTAGAATAATTCGAAGGTGATCTAGTGGCCTATATAAACCCTCACCCTCAGTTGATGTACTGTATGTACGGCACTTACTTGACTAATCAGAGACCATTCAAAAGGGGTCTTGTGTGCCCTATTCCTTCAGAGAACTGCTTCTTTATTCTGATGACCTAAGAGTGTTATAGTATGGCTGTGTATTTGGGCAGGATGAAGTTTTGTCAATACTATCTAAGTTTCTGGGGGACAATATCCTTTATTCTTCAAGTGTATTTCATGTTAAACAACATTTACAGGTAGAATTAGCTTGCCACCTGGTTCACAGATGTAAAAGACCAAGCAGGACCCTGCCAGCACCTCACAAAGGCTGGAGAGAAGGTGGTAGATACCATCAAAGCCCTGTTGATCCCACCTTTAAATACTCCTACCTAACGGCAATTATTGGGGTCTATTGTTTGGGAGGATGGCGGCTGTCACCTGGGTAAGGATCATGGATTGGGGGAGGAAAGGGGAACTGCTCTTTTATTGTTGGCTGTATTGTTCCCAAAACTAAAATTGACTGATAAAAAGGACAATTGGATTAAAAACAGATGGGACTGATTTCAAACATCTTTTTAATATAAAGCAAAAGCAGCAAAACTAAAATTAAAATTGTTCAGGAAAGTGATGGCAATTGCGGAGATCTACAAACTGACATCTTAATCTTGCAGTTTCGCAACACAGTTCAGCTGTCGTCTGTCCACATATAGTACTTCTTTCACAGTGCTTCGGATGTGATGGATACAGCTACACAACAGTGGTAATCCATCAGCCCAGCATCGACTCATTCGTGCCAGTTTAATGCTTGTTCTTATTGATCCTTGCATGCTTCTGAAGGCCAAACCATGACACCCAAGTTCAGGAACACACAGAATACCTTTTCCCTTAAAGCCATAAACCAATGATTCCCATCTTCATTGAAGGACAAGGGTCAGGCGAATGATGGGTATCTGCTGCAGTCTTCGCCAGCTGGCATACGTGACTGCGCAGATCTGAAGGCTCTTGATGAAGTCCCTGCAAGGCTTTCTATTGGCTCCAGTATTTCACTTCCCCATAGAACAGTGGTTTCCAACCTGATCCTGGATGAACAGTCTTTTCTGGTTTTTTTTCCAGCTCTGAGGTCTGAGTCACAGGCTAATTGATTTCAAGTTTCTATCTGGGGCATATTTCTGCACTCGCATTTGAATCCTATGTTACTTCACTGTCACTGCAACAAGGAATGTTTTTTGGCATAATTCTGAACCCCCTAGCATGCTCAGATATTATGACAAGGTTTAATCGGGGAAAGCTGCTACTTGGCAGTCTGTCTAGGCACCCAGCTGTGTGCCGTTCTGCAGGTAGTTTGCTTCCTTTGCCAGGAACAGGTCTGCCAAGTTGCAAGAAGCGTGATTTTCATTTTTTGAAGAGCTTTGCCAAGAACAGCTAAAGAAACAAAGGTCATTAACACAAAGTATAATCTTAAAGAAGCAGAACTGCAAAAAAAGTCGAGACTCTTGAACACATTCTGTGCCATGTCACTTTTTTTACAGATACTGTAAGATAGAACCACCAAATAAAACTGTGATAAAAAAATGAACATAAGAACATGTTTTTTTCAGTGGGTGCTTGCAATAGGACATTAGGAGCAAATAGACTGAAGATAATCAGAATGCCACATAAGTGCTTTTTAAATTATCAGTCTATGCTGTGACAGTTAAGCCAAATACTCCCTTATGGTGTTAAGGCCTTATGTGTGCACGATGGCAGCTCGTGTCTGAATACCACATTCCCCAGAAGGCAGTGGGGATTGACCTGCCATCCTCCATGACCTGACCAGATGAAGGAAGACAACTGGATAAATGACACTTAAAGCCAGGAAGCTGGAGCCTCTGCTTTCCCTGAGACCTACTTAAAGATCTTGTTAAGGTTGAATTCACAGGAATCTCAGGGGTAAAAGGGTAAGAAAAAACCTAATCCATTCTTTTTAATAAGTCAACAGTGGTGTCTGCAAGGGAAAGAAATGAAGAAAATTTAGCCCTGTATGAGTACAGCATAAATCTCTCCACAGATGAAAGGGAAAGCCACGTAACTGGATTTAAAAAGATATTTAATTGCAGGAGAGCGACATCAGCAGATGGTGTTTTTCCTAAGCAGATAAACCTAGAGAAAATATCATTAACGCCTACTGCAGCTGAAGAACAGGAATCAATGAAACACGGCATATTAATCCCTAAAACAACACAATGTTTTCCAGTGCCTGGAACAGAGGAACGCTAGAAGGATTACCAGCCAGGGGAGGCAATCTTGCATGGCTGCCTGTGACAAAATGGCAGAGGAGCTCATGGAATGGGGGAGGGGGATAAGGGAAACAGTGCCGCAGCGTGGAGAGGAAGATGAGCGAGGGCAGGCGGCGGTGAGGGGTCTCACCGAGCTGCAGGGCGCTGCGGGCCTGGCTGACGGTCTGCTGGCCGGAGATGCGGAGGCAGTTCTTGAGGTGCAGGGAGGCTGGCTGCAGTTGTGGGGAGGTGGGAGGGGCCGCCGGCGCCGGGCCGGGGCGTGCAGCCGAGCCCAGGAGGACGGGGCTGGACGGGCCGGCAGACTGGGGGGAGCCGGGCACCACCTTGATCGCCTGGGCCGTGCCGGGGAGGGCAGTGCGAGGCTGTCCACCTGCGAACGGAGCCCTGCGGCACGGGAGAACAGGGGAAAGGTTACAGAAGAGAGCAGGGTACTAGCCCGTTTGGTAGTGTGTAGTCTAACTGGTCCCAGGATCTCTGCCAGGGGACTCTTGACAGAAACCAGGGTTTTGGCTTTAACAACATGGCTGGGTAGCTTGTTCCACACTCACACCATCCTCAACGGCATGAAAAGAAGAAACAAAAACTGTTTTCATGGGAATTTGGATCCAAAAGGCCGTCAAGAAAAGATTAATCTCTCTACGTCTCTACCTAATGCAAGGAAACCCTGTTTAACAGGGCGAAGACCACTAACCTACAGAAATTGAATCGAACCTATACACTCAAGGCTTTGGTTTCAGAATTCAGAAAAAGATCTCAAAACCTTGGTTTCTGAAATAAAATGAAGGATCAGCAAATGCTTTATTAGATATTTGGCATATGTTAAATTGAGTCATTTAATTCTATACTCATCTTTAAATTTTTTATGTTTATGGTGAAACCTAGAGAAAGATGTCAAAGGATAAAGGATAATGTTACTGTCTTGATGCCCACCTACTTCCTGTTCCCTTTGGCAACATATTGACAAATTGTGATAAGTGGAAGAATATGGATTAGCATGTTAAATGTCGCAGAACTGACGTCAGGTCAAGATTGGCCAAGGGCAACAGACTGAATAGTTTTAAAAGCATTTTATCTGTTCCGGAAACAGGAATCCAATAGCGTCTAAACAAAAATCCTGTTTTAACTGGAGGAAAATGTTCAAAGTTATTTGAATTTTACATTTCAGTAACCCTATACTATTCCTAATTTGACTGTAAGATTTACTTCCAAGGCAATCTGTGGAAACAAAATGAAATTATCTGATTTCAAAGATTAACTGTCACTGCATTGTGATCCCTTGACCTGCTATATTCCATTAAGCATGGGTCTGGACCATGACAGGTCTGCAGACTAAAAACTGACAGGTCATATATCCTTTCCAACCCCGAAAATTCAAATCAATCAATTGTAGGGAAGTCGGCATTAGAAGAAGCATCAAATGAGGCTGTTGTTGTTCTGTAACCAATTACCCCTTTCGTGCATACTGTTCTTTACTGCACGCCTGGTCCTGGAGGAACGCTATGTCTTCTGGTTTTCGGTCCAGACAAGCTCGTAAGCACGGGCTAATTGATATTAGTTTTCCGTCTGGGGCACATTTGTAAATTTGCTTTCAGCTCTTAAAAGGTCAAATGGGGTTTGTAATTGGTAACACCTCTGCTTCCGGCTTTCACAACTGCTCTCACTCGGGAGTGATGACTGTAACGTAACCAATCAGACCTCTGAAGAAGGAAAAAACACTCATCTGATGCACCGTGTTTGCTACTGATGTCTAATTATTATCCACAGATCAACTAGGAAGAGATGTTTAATCAGAAATGAGTTCCAGGCACTTGGCTAGCATGTTGAGGAGTGCCTGCATAAACATGTACTGAAGTTGTTGGAAACTACTTTTATACAATATTTCTGACACTGACCAAAGAAGCAGGTTAAATAAAAGTCTAATCAAACAAGAAGATCAATTAAGTCATCAGTTAGCACTGGAAATGCAGATCGCAGCTGGAATGAAAACCAGCAAGCAGTATTCCCAGATCCAGCTGGGAACCACTGTTTGCTAATATACTGCACAGTAGTATGCAAGATTAAAAAAAAAACACTGTTTATTTGAAGCTTAGTTCATGGCTTCCTGGACAAAGCCTTGTAGCAAAAGGGTTAATAACCTGT